TCCCTACACCGCTACATGCAAAAGCACCGTGGCTGTGCTCAGGCTGTTATACTCATCACCTCAATTTATGCCATAAACATCTCCATCCTCTCTAAGTTTTCTCCTTCCTTCTTTTAAAATTATTATTAGATAAATCATTTTCAGAAAATTAAAATCTATAAATACCAAGTCTTCCAAAACAAACATTTGGCATAGCCTCTCAGTTTTGTAGGTTGTTTTAGAATTTCTCACAATATTTTATCAATGTGTGTGTTGAGAACTTTTATATAGTTTGTCATATTTCCTAGGTATTTTATTTTTTGATGCTAGTTTAACTGTTTTGCTTTAGTTTTGTTTTCTAATCAGTGGTACATATGAATACCTTAGATATTTTATATTGTCCTTTTGTACAAAGACATTGCTAAAGTTTCTTATTGATTTTAATCATTTAGCTCTTTATACTTTTAGATTTTTAAATGTATAATCATGTAAACTGTGAATGACTTTTATTTCTTCGTTTTCCACTCCTGAAACTTTCTTTCCTTCTTCCTTCCTTCCATCCTTTTTCCTTTTGTTTTTGCCTTTATTGTACTACCATGGACCTGCAATATCATGATGATTATAAGTGGTCATAGAATACAGCATTAACATGAGATTTGCTGTAGATCTTATTTTATAAACACCCTGTATCACAGAAGTACGTTTTCATTATAGTTTGCCAAGATATTTTAATCACGGTGCTTAATTATTTCAAATGATTCTTTTGCATCTGTTGAAATAATCATATTATTTTTCCTCTTTATTCTGTTAACGTGGTAAATTATTTTAATTTTAGAACATTAAAAGAACCTTGCTTTTTGGAGTAAATCCGACGTTGTGATATAATGTTCTTTTCATATACATTTGAATTGGATGTGCTCATATTTTTTCAGGTTTTGCATTATGTTTATGAAAGATAATGACTTGTCAATTCCTATTCTTATAATGAAGTAATCATTCAGTACCAAGATCTCATTGGCTTTCAAAAGCGATTTGCTAACTGCTACTTATATATTTTTTAATTGTTTCTCTGGAACAAGGAGACACCGGTAGGAGCCGCTGCTGTGGCTGTTGCGGTGACTCGCAGTAACCAGCGCGAGCTCACCCGTCAGAAAAATGAGAAAAAGCTGGGTGGCTCCGTTAAGGAAAACCGCCGAGATGACAGGCTTTCTGCTGTCGCCCACGAGCAGAGGGACTCGGAGATCACGCGGCAGAAGCAGAAAAAGGCAACCGAGGAGGACACTCCTGACCTTCGGCTGTGTGGCCAAGCTCCTGCAGTGCTCCGTGGTCCCAGCACCGATGGCATTTCTTTTGTCCTGAGTCTACGGTGGTCCCTTTTGTGCTTCCTACCCTTCAGGTGGCCTCTCTCCCGCTGGGCCATTACTGGGAGTGAGAGATACCCCTTCCAAGTGATTTTTATGGAAATGTCTAACCACTATGCTATACACCCCTTTTTTATTCCTGAGGGGCTCACCCCAAAGTATTAAAAGTAGTGTTGTAATTCCTTGAAAAAATAATTTGTTTCTGGACTGGTTTGTTATTTTTACTAAAATGCTTGGGAGAAATTGCTAAAAATAAATAATAATAACTGTTATTATTTTTTTTATTGTGACAAGCACATGTAACATAAGATCTGCCCACTTTGAAAAATACAGTACTGTTCACTGACAAAGACATTATTCCAAAGACATACAAATGACCACAGGTTACATGAAAAGATGTTCACCATCTCTAATCATCAAGGAAATGCAAACCAAACCCACCGTGAGTCAGTTTTTGATTATAATGGTGAATGGGTTAAAGAAGTACAAATTAGTAGTTGATAGATGGTCACGGGGATGGGGAGCATGGAATAGGGAATGCAGTTAGCATTAATACACTGGAGAGGTTAAAAACCTGAGGAGAGAAGGAGCAATTAGGGGGATCGTTTTATAAATTATATAAATATCTAACCCATTTATTGTACACTTGAAACTACTAAAAATAATACTGCATTGGAAAAAAAAAAAAACACCACAATGAGATACCACCTCACACCTGTTAGAAAAACTATGTATCATCAAAAAAAAAAAATCAACAAATAACAAGTGCTGACAAGGATGTGGAGAAAAGGGAACCCTCATACATTGTTAGTAGGACTGCGAATTGGTACAGCCACTATGGAAAACAATATGGAAGTTCCTCAAAAATTTTAAAAAGGATCTGCCATACGATTCAGCAAAACCACTTCTCGGGGTATAAATCCAAAGAGATGGAAATCAGGATCTCA